TTTTTTTGTACTTTTTATATTTTACATTTATATTTATTATTGAAACTTGCACCAAGGGAGTGGCACTCCAATTTCGTTGTACTCTGTACAATGACAATAAAGGCTATTCTATTCAATGGGGAGGAAAGACCTACGAAATCTCTCCATCCCACATCGTGGATGCTGCAGCCACTGAAGGAGCTGCTCAGTGCTGTCAGAGCTATTTGTAAGTATCTGTTTGTACAGCTTCCCTATAGTGGCTCCAGCACATTACATTAGCACAATGTGCAGGTAGTTCTGCATAAAAATAGCTCATGGAAATGTTTTTTTTATGGGGCTATTTTTACTTTCTTGCTTTGCGTACTTTTTAGAGCCTCTACTTTTTCACCTTCACTTGAGTAAAGAAGATGAATCAGTATCTGTAGTTCTACTTAAGTACAGTCTGTACTTTTGTTTTTAGTTTTCCAGTGAGTTATTTTTATTGATGGCAGTTGGGCTAAAATTTGTTCATTTTAGCCCAACTCTGCCATCTGCTGGTCGTCATGAAATATTGCAAGATTTATTTTCAGGCACAAAAAGTTTACAAGTTTGACAGTGTGTACATGTGCCTGATAGCATCTTTAAAACCATTAAAATATCTGTGTATTGTGATTTCTGTCAATGTTTAAAATAATAATGATTAGGAAATATTGTTTGGTATTTAATGGGCATTATTAAAGTCACTTATTTACCACTTGTTCAGTTGCTTGATAGAAGAGGAAACATTTAAATTAGTGTAAATGACACAGTATTGAACTAATTTGCAGCAAACATAGCGCAAGAGAAAGCAGACAGGAGGTATCATTAGAGTGAATTGTGTCTGATCACAATTTTTTCTTAGATCATTGCTGTATTGCAGTGTATGAGCATGTGGGGGTGTGTGTTTATGTATGTTTCAGATTAAATAAAATCATTAATGGAGATTGAGTAAACATAATTTTCCCTTGCACCTCCTGCGTTACAGTTACATTGGATGTCAGAACTCCAGAGTTGAGTGTGTGCCGGTGGTAAAGACAGAAAGGCAAGGGAAATCAAATTCTGTCAAGCATCCCATGTGTAACTATTGTAACTCACAACCTTGAGCTAGAGTAGATCGCTTGAAGAGAAGCAGTTTGTATTCTTTGTGTTTAATATACATGTGAACATAAAACGAACTATTATCAAAATAAAACAGGAGGTTGAGGATAAACATTGAAAAATGTAGAATAACAATAAAATAAACAACAAAAAACCAAAACACAAAGCCTTGAATATTTAACACGTACACAAACAAAGATGCAACTAATTTTTGTCAATTCAAATATATCCTATTCTGGTTTTTAGTAAAGAATAAAAAATTATTAATCACCTTGAGGCAACTGTTATTAGGATTTGACGCTATATAAAGAAAACTACATTTAATTAAACCAAATGCTTCTACTTATAGAAATAATCTGTTTGTGCAACTAATCATCGTTTGCTGCAGTTTCCTATATCATAAAAGTTACATTTACAAAAGATTGAACATGAGGTAAATATAACAGGTGGGCTCTGAACATGTCTCACTCTGTGCCTTGAGTCTCCAGCTGACTGGGATAGCAGAAATTAAATAAAAATCAGGGGGTGAAAATTCCCAGAAACTGCATTTCCTCATGCATGTCCTGCAAGTCCAAACTGTTAAAATTACAACTTGTGAACAACTAAAGAAACATAGTATGGTATAAAATGGTGTTTCTAGCTTTCTGTAGCTTAACCTCCTCATTGTGCAGATTACATCTTATTTTTTTCCATCCACAGACCAGAGAGGGATGTAATCATGGCTCTTTCACCCACTGTTGTCATTTAACCTGCACCTTCTTGTGCTTGCTTTATAACACTGATGAGTTCATCATTCATCTGTTTTCCATATTTAAAAAGTCCATCCACATTTTGTGATGAAGCTTTTGTTGATCCCAGTAAACACACCACTTTTGAACTGAAGCTGGAAACAGTAGTGAAGTGACTTGCGTATTTGTTTGTGGCCATGTTTTTCTAAAATAGAAAATTGTTTTTATTCTCTAACATAGTAAATGAAAATAATATGTGATAGTGGAGACACACATTTCAGTGCAAAGTCACAGGTCACTTATGTCCACAAACCAGCCACAAAAAGTGTTGACAGACATGTAGCAGTATATGCTACTTTGCATGTGGTTATCAGGGTTATATGTTAAGTGGAAGTGGGGAAAAACTCTGACTCAGCTTATGACTTCTGCTTTCATAAAGTTTTGCCAAACAAATGCAGGCACATGATATTTTTTGGCTGCATTGTATTTTGGCTTTCTAATAGATATTGCTGCAGCATGAAAAAAGACACCACTTCTTCTGTCTGGGTACACGACCACACTTTAGGCAGGGTGTTTAAAGACGGGCTGTCCTCTGTCTATGGGTTCAAATTGTGGCCATAGATATGTTGTACTTGTACATCAAATAGTTGTAGTTGTGAGCTGAGTTTTGTAACCTCGTAAACCACAATATCCAAAAATGTTATGTTTGTGCGTTCATGGATGAGAATTTGTGTGAATTATGACCAGAAGCTCAGTAAGCCACCTCTCCGACAGCCAAATCCATCTGTTCTCTGATTGGATTGTTACATTTGTGATTGACATAACATTGACCAATCAGCTGAAAGAAAGGGAAAATTGGGTCAAAATTGTACTTGTAAGTTCAAACTCACACACAGCCAGGGAACTTGAGCGCAGAGTTTTACATGTAGTTTTTTTTTATAAGATAAGAATTGTGTCGAGAACACATACACGTGATCCTGAATCAGAGAAATAGCATTAAATGTTGTGACTGTTGATAGAATCATAATGTATATGTGGTTGTAGTACTGATTAAGTATACTCAATTGCTCAATACTGATCAGAATATAACCAGGTATATTAATCATAAATATCCTTAAGTTAACCAGTATACTGCATAAGAAAATTTAGAACATAATAATGAATCTGAAGACAGGCCTCAAATAAATCACCTTGAGGCAACTGTTACTGTGATTTGGCGCAATATAAAGAAAACCAAATTGAATTAAACTTAAGAGTTGACTTTGGTGCGTGTGTGTGATTGTGTATGTGTGGGTTGCGCAAGACGGGAGGGAGTGAGAAATATATAATTTAATAGAGTTTAACAGAGAACAAGTAAAAGAAAATATTTCTATATAACTGGATTAAAAGGTAACAGCTTGTAACAGCATTCATACACTTACAAAAAATTAAAGCACATAGATCAAGTTTATTTAAGTTAACATTTTAAATAACAGACAATTGCTTTTGTTAGCATTTGAATCCAACACTATGTGGGTTTTTCCAACACGGTTTGTCAGGTTTATCTAACTGAATACGCGCATGTTTATAACAATTAATAGACATGCAAATAATGCAAATGGACACATCTATTTCAATTACAAAACAATGCATGGTATATTTGGATTGTTTAATATATCAATCAACGAAGAATGGAGGACAGCTTTCTATTGTCTATTTGTGTTACTCATAATAACCATTGCCTGCTCTGTTTCATGTATCAAAAGCAGTTGCAATTTCATGAGCTTGAGTTTAAATTAGGTGTTGTGGCTCTGATTTTCCCAGAGTGAAGAAGTCCCACAAGCAGCAACAGCAGAGCCACCATTATGATGGTGAACACAGTCCGTAAGACGAGGTAAATATGACAGCCAGGCTGTGATGAGGGGTCTGTCTTGGTCTCTGTGTGATTGATTGAGCAGATAAAAACAATTCATTAATTATTTCAGTGTTCACCTTGGTTATTTACTTAATATTTACATTGGCAAATTCAAGGGCTGAAAAACTGGCAGAAATGCAGTTCCTCTATTGTCCATTTAAGTTGTGAATTTACCCCCATAGACTACCAAACTGTTAAAAAGCCCAGCAAATGAACAATTAAAGAAATATGGTATAAAATTATATGTAAATTATATCTGCACATTTTTCCTCCATATGTAGTCCAAAAGTTGTTATCCCGTTTGTTGTTTGTTGTTTATTATCCAGGACATAATTTTTTTCACAGTGGTTTATGATTTCTGATCTGAAGAGAAAATTGTGTAAATGATAAAAACAATTACTGAATTATTTTATAATAAAAGAGTCTGTTTAATCACACAAAGCAGGAGACTGAAGTGAGCAGTTAGCGATCATCAGCTGATTCATGTGTCAGTCACAAACCCACTTCTTTGTTTTCTCTTCTGTCAGACAAATTCACCATAAATTCTAGTATAATGATAAGTGATACAGTTGTACTACTACCGGCATTAAAAAGGAGAAAAACAAGACCTCTTCACTGTCTCACCTGTGACACTGAGCCAGCTCTCTGGTGATTCTCCAGCTCCTACAATGCTGCATTTATAAAGTCCTTCATCAGATTTTGAAACTTTGTGGATGGTCATGCTTCCTGTTGAGTTGTTCCTGATGTGGACTCCATATTTATAGAAATCAGCCATGAAGTCTGAGGGAGTTAACTTATTTCTGCAGCTCAGGGTCACGTCTTCTCCCTCCATCACAGGAACAGCAGGACTCTCCAGGATCACAGAACCAGCTGAATAACAGGAGTTTTGTATTTTTTTTTTAATAAAATTTGATTAAAATGAATCACAAAATATTGTCTCACTGCAAACATACCAGTGATAGAGATGTTGATACTGTTGCTTCTGATCCCTTCTTCATTCTCATAGCAGTACTCCCCACTGTCATCTAGATAAACATTTGTGATGGTGCAGGATGATCCTTTGGGACATGTTTTTATTTTCCCTTTGACTTTATGCACAAATTCACAATAAACAACTCCCTCACAGTAAAAGGTCACTGCCTCATATTCAAAGAACTGTAATCTGTTTGGAAGGATATGAAGAGAAAATGCATCTAGATGAAGAAAAGGAGAGATTTACTTTAGTTTTATTTTTGAATATCACAAATCACAAATTTAAGTTCCAAACACAAACTGATAAAAGTTCATGTCAGTTTACTTTTCTGGTACTTACCACTCTTCTGATCATATGCACAAAGCAGGATGATCACACTCATCACTGAAAAGACAAAAAACGAGCAACACATTAAAAAAGAAAAATAACAAAAAAGAATAACCGCCATACGTAATACTTAAATGTAAAACTGCTGACAAAGCTACTTGTTATTTGGCATTTTCCTCTAGATGAAACTTTTCAAACCACATAGTTTTCTAAAACCATTATTAACTTATAGATTTATTAAAGCTTAGTTTTAATGTGGAAGTGGAGAAAGTACTCACTGAGTTTGACGCAGAGAGCTCTAAAATCCATGATGTCGTCCAGATTGTTAACAACATTCTGTTTCTGTTTGGCTTATTCGTGCTGCTGATGCAACACTTGGCATTTAAAAGAAGAAGCAAAAATGCTGGTCTAGTAACACTGCAGTTTCAGTTCACTGGAGTGAAATCAGAGACGAAAGCTGCCTTCAATACAACTTGTAATAATTTAATGTTTCTCACATTCACTTTACTACGATACAGTAACATGTGAACAAGTATGTATTAGTACAAAATCCAGAGTGGTATCATTGTTTAAAAATGTTTTTAAGCAAGCTTGGGGAGAGACAATCAGAGGGGCAGTGTGATGATCTTAGGTGACAAACTACAGCAGACAAACCATTAAGGGAGACAGAATCAAACTGCTCTAAGACAGCTGTGCACATAGGAGAAAGACTAGGATCTGAGGCAGCAGTCGATGAGACAAGAGCCCTAATAGATAGAACCTTTTCATTAAAAAATGCTAAAAAATCATCACAAATACTTGGTGAAGAAATGACTCTG